CTAGGGGGGGGGGTGTCTGTTCTCCAGTTATTACGCTCGGTTCGGACTGATAGCGCCACGTAACGGGATGGGATTAGAGAGAAAGTAGATGCACTGAAGCACTGATTGGGCTGCGATGTTCATTTTGTTGATATAAAGAACGCACGACTGTCGTTGAAGCTAATATAGCTTTGTTTTATTGCAAAATATAAACTGAGATGTCAAGGTACAAAGGAGGCTGTTTGACCCATGTGACAAAATATCAACAGATGCCTGATATTTATATTTCGCAAAACTGATATTGTGACGTATTGGAATGGGATGAGTCAGAATCTTGATCAGAGATGCAACACCTCTCTTTCTCTAGCTGAGATAATACTGAAGAATACAAAACTAGCTGAAAGAATACAAAAAAGAAAACAAAATACTTTTCCTTTGACTTCAGCTTCTACTGACCTGATTTATATACTGAAATTAAAATAAAATGAGAGTCAACAAGGCTGTTAAAAAAATAGTGTGTGACACACGTGGTAGAAGTGATTTTATATTCCTTGCTGGATTACACAACTCGAGTGGCATGTCAAAGTATATTGAATATGCCGGTGAGGTTGTGCGCAGGTTCAGCTGGCGAAATAACCTCATTTTTCATGTTTGTCACAATGGAAAATAGTAATTTCAATTACTACAGTGAACTTTAATACGTCACATTCTGCATGCGATAATATTAAGTTGGACAATGGAAAGTAAATACGCAAGATGGAAACAATTGCCATCGCGCTACTGTGAGTTGACTAAAATGTTTTTTGCCGGTTTCTATTGTGCATGTAGGTAATATTAAACGATTTAACACTCCCTTTCTTTTTTTCTTTCTTTCTTTCTTTCATTTCTTAAAATGTTAAATCTATCTTGTAAATTTTAAAGTAAATTATTAGCAATCTATTTATCCTAATTTTGTTTTCTGACTCATGTTTTAATATGTTTTATATATTTATTTTCTTGTACTAGAAAACTCATGATGATGGCTAAGCCATCGAAACAATATTGTTGGCAACGACGACTCATAATTATTTCATTCTTTTTTCCAGTTGTTTTGATTGGATCATCCCAATATTGCCTCTCAATGGAATGGGATTGGAGAGAATGTAGGCGTGTACTGTCATATTTCTCAACAACTGATTGGAGTGTGATATTGATTTGGGGGATATGAAGAAGTGTACGCTATTGGCGACAAAAGTGAGCTTTTTCTATGTAGACACGAGAAGTCAAACTGTATTCACTACAGGGAGGCTAATTAGATTCTCCCCAATCAGTATACTATATTTCTCTAATATTGTCGTTTATATTTTCCTTCATAAGGAGGGCAGATCATAACCTCATTTATCACAATGATATTGCATACAGCACAGTGCTCACGCTGCAATAAAGTAGTAATTTATCATACTTGGTTCATAAAGATAGGGTCACATTATAATTGTGTTGATGTGGGTTAAACAAGAAGGTGAGTTCTTAACAAAACTGGGATAATCCACTGGTATTGTAAATGAAGAAAACGATTCTTTCGTTGAAGCCGTTTTTTACTTGTACTCACACATTATTGAGAAAGACTTGAAGATGTATATTCAGTACGTCAGGGTGGCGAATTAGGTATTCTGCTCTCACTTTACTCCATTCTTTCAAAATCACCAAATACACTTTCATTCGCCATCAGGAGGGCAATGCCAAAATTACTTAAGTTTTGGAAGATAAATTCTGTAATCTTCATACAAATCGGACGTACTGGACAGAAAATACAGCAACTGAATTAGCGATAAATCTATTGAATAACGTTTACAAAATTTACTTCAGTATCCAAATTCTTTTACAAGAAAATTTTATTAAATTTATTATTAATTTGTAAATGAAAAATCACAACTCAATAGCGCACATTTTGAGTAAATACCTATTCACTAAAAATAACACAATCGCGTTCTCTATTTTATTCATCAAAATAATTCTGTTTTAATATCGGATCCTGGAGACATTAGAAAAAATTTTAAGCGTGGGATTCGCTTACATATTCAAACAATTTTCTTCGAATTTAAAACCATCAGTAAAAGATGGAATTAAAAGAGCGAAAGCAATATTCACGTTGAAACCGGAAGCATAGTACATTACATACATCAATATAAAAAG